TTGTCCTGCCATCCGCAGTTGATAGCAATACCGACTCTTATCTGTGAAAAAAAAACGTTCTCCACTGTCTGTCTCACCAGTTCTGGTGTTGTTGGGTAAACTGTAGACGTTCACGTCGATGGCGTGGGATGGGGATCGGTCCACGGTAAGGTCTACGGCAATGGATGTTCTCTCTGTTAAGACGTCGGCGCACTGTATCGGTACTAATGGGTCTTCCGTGTGTTCCCACTGTCTGACGTGCTGTCTCAGATGCCTGTGTGAAGGGATTCTACAATTGCTGTCGCAGAACATGGCAGTCTTTAGGCCTTGTAACCCGTGGTCTACCAGTTCGGGGGGCGATCATCCGTGGTGTTGGTGGCTCGAAAGCGTTGCTGAAGTCTGTAGATGGTCGGAACATTGACCTGGAAGTGATTGGCAACGGCTTGGGCAGTGTGGCGAGCGTCGAGTCTTCCAAGCGCCTGGTCCCTCAGCTGTCGTGAGTCGTGGCATGCTGCTGACGTTGTAGTGTGAATGATTCAACCAGGTATGGGGTGCATTTTATAGGACTGGTCCCGGTGAACAGCACGTGCAGCATGAGTTACTTGAAAATCATGGAGAACACATTACCATCTCAGAAGTCAGGTTGCGTTTTTGAGAATATTTCCTGGGTTCAATTCCGTGTTTGAGAAGGAGCCTTATTGCTCAGGTAAGGTTGGAGATGTGGTCACAAATAATAAAAACATTTGACATATTTTATGCAATGCGTCTATTCAGATTAACATACCAACCCGACGTTTCGTTTGCTGCTTAGTATATGTCATGTACAGATTGATCGATATGGAAAATTTACACAAATTAAAATAATTGTAACAGACATTAATATTTAATGGAAAAGCCATTGTTAAACCATTATTAAAGAAATCCAACATGGATCCAGATATTCTGTCGAATTACCGTCCAGTCAGTAATCTATCTTACATTTCAAAACTGCTAGAAAAGTGTGTTCTAAATCAATTAAATGATCATATTTATTCCAATAACCTTCAAAATCCATTACAATCTGCTTACAAACAATACCACAGCACAGAAACTGCTTTACTCAAAATCACCAACGATATCTACCGACCTTTAGATCAACAGAAATGTGTTATCTTGGTACTCTTAGATCTTATATACATATAGATCGCTCAGCCGCATTTGATATGCTCGATACCGAAGATTTTCATGATGCATTATGGTGTGAAATTAGCTTGCGTGGTTCTGTCTTTAACTGGGCTAAGTCATATCTAACCAATCGCACCCAAGCTGTCAGAATTAGAGATTCAACATCCGATGATAATATAATGCCTTGTGAGGTACCGCAAGGTTCTGTACTCGGACCTGTACTTTTTATCATCTTCACAAAGTCTACCATTAAGATTGATGAAGGCTATGGGCTAAATATTCATGTGTTTGCAGACGACTCCCAACTTTATATTGAATTTGAGACAGACTCTCAACATTCCACGATACAAAATATAGAACTTTGTCCCACGGAAATTCTTGGTTGATGACAGAACATTTTTTGAAATTAAATCCAAATAAAACAGAAAATCTAGTCGTTGGAACTAACTAACAACTCTGAAAAATTGATCAAACGCTAGTTAATTTTGATAAAGAAGTGATCACAGGATCCTATAACTCTCGAAATATTGGTGCTGTATTAGACTCGAACCAATCGTTGAACGATCACATACAAAGTATTTGCTCCACCACCTTCTATCATATACATCGAATTTGAAAGATCCAACGCTATCCCAATTATGAAAATAAAGGAGAACTCATTCACGCATACATCTCAACTAAACTAGGTTACCAAAATGGTTTACTATACGGCTTACCAGACTATCAGATTAACAAACTACGTCATGTTCAAAATTCAGCAGCTCGGTGCCTCACTAAAACTAGAAATAGCAACACATCTCCACGGTATTGCAATCTCTACATTGGTTCCCAATTCAGCAAAGAATTAAGTTCAATTTACTCCTCTTTATCTGCAAAGCGTTAAACGGCCAAGCTCCATCTCATATAAAAAGTCTTGTAGAACCCTATACCACCAGCAGAAATCTTCGCTCTCAGAAAAAACATATTCTAAAAGCTCCAGCTATTAACTTACAACTTGGAAAACGTACCCTTTCTTATACTAGCCCTTTTCTTTGGAATGACTACCACAGTCAATGAAACAATTACCCTCTGTGGGCCATTTTAAATCTCAACTCAAAACATTCTTGTTTCAAAACCCTGATCTGTAAATAATCAGTGAATATAACCAACAGCGCCTTAGAAACTGTTTTTGTTCTGTATTAACGCGCTTTACAAATAAACGATATCATTATTATTATTATCAGGATTACTATGGCCGACATTAATATAGTAATATGTCAAGTACAGATGGATCGGTATGGAAAATTCACACAAATTAAAGTAATTGTGGCAGGCAAGTAATATTCAATCGCCACACGTCCTATGTGTAGTACATATATTTGCGCCCATGATTTGGTTTTTTGGGGGAATAACAGATCGATCGGTATGGAAAACTTACACCAAACAAGATAACTGTAGCAGCCAGTTAATATATTATGGCAATTATATTATCCCCACACACCTTACGCGTTTAACATGGCAATTTTGTAATCGGCACACACCCTAAATGCGTATTACATGCATTTGTGCACGGTATTTTAGGGTTACGACGGCCGACTCTCAAATTGTGTAAGTATAGATATACCATTTTGTGAAATTCACACACATTCACGCCAAAGAACATGATAAATCCGTCATATAATTATGCATTTATACGTTTGTGGGTGAGGAGACGTAATCCTCCCAACGAGCCACGGTGTAAGACGCTGGTTCATTAATCAGGGTATCCGATCTAGGTGCTGGCCGAGGAAGTTTCTTGGGATTTCCAATCGCGGTTTCAACTTGTCAGTGATGCAGACTGTCTAGCCGTACACGTTGGTAATCAAGTAAAAGAACCCTTGATTGACAGTTGAGTAGTTGAATAAGAGTAGGTCGTGTGATTTGATATCCGGATAAAATTTCCCACATAGCACAATGCATGTCGTATGCTCGTCTTCAGTATCACCTGCAGTTGGTGCAGAAAAGTAGGACGTAAAACCGCATTTCATTTTGTAATCCTCCCAACGCATATTCCGTAACCTTTTTGTGCGATCGATGTTACCGGTAGTTATGTGTATCTCAGTCAGTCAATATGGTGAACCCGACGAAAACCCACTAGGCTACTGGTTGGGTAGAGATGGTTCCACTACTGATGTCTTCCGCCTTACTCCAGCCACAGTAGTAGCTCGTCCTGCGGAGTTCTTTGCGTAAGTTTTTTAGTCAAATGACTACAAAAAGGTTACTGACCTACAGCTCCCTTAATTTATACATAAACTGGCCCAAAACTGTACTGCACATAGCTTAACATATAATAAACCAATTCCCATTGAAATAAAGGTGAAGCCTTACCGCATAATTATATGATATGAAACCAAACTGCTACGAGTAATTTTTCGCCTACCGAACTTATTTCATCTGGCCGGTGTCATGGCGGCTTTAACATTATAAGAAACACCGCTTTGAAAATGTAGACCGCACTACCACAAAGTAACTACTTTAATGGTCCAGTCTTCACTATTGTGATAGAATTACTATATCAATTGTAGCGTTAAACTGTGTGTTTAACTATACATTTAATTGTAGCTAATTGCCTCATGCTGATTGCAAACTTGTCTCAAGTTTATCAAAAGATAGGTTGACTGGCAACTAAACATGCGCCCACAGCACCTTTGTCTTCGGAGAAGTCCGTATGGGTCATATTTGTTGTTTTGCAGGTGGAAACATCAAAATGACACAAAAGCTGATCAAAAGAAACAACCTATTAATAAGTAATAAAGTAATTAGCCTGTAGAGAGTCCACAATATGTTTCAATGTCAGTGAGGGCTATAACTCTGCCAGTAATTATTGGTAGTCACTGAAAATCAATGTTTTTTTCTTCGTCTGATGGCCATAACACTTACATCTTGTATAAGAGAGAGAGAGAGAGAAATGGGGTTAAACGTCCACTCGACACAAACTAGGTCATTTCGGGACTAACATGGTTTAATTTTATTTCAATAATTCACTTGCGCATAGGGGTCTTTAGCAGTGGGGGGAAATCGGAGGACCCGAAGAAAACCAACAAGGTTAGACAGGCGACCCTACTCTTTGTCACGTACGACCGGGGATTCGAAACCACGCCAGTTGACTCAATGACAGGCTTTCTGATACAGCGGGCACATGCTAACCATTCGGCCATCCAACCCCCCTCTTGTATAAGTCAATTGGATTATAACTTTAGCCTTTAGAGCGTCTTTATGACCTCAAGAGGGTCCACAAGCTAAAAACGTGTTTTTTGTACAATCAGGGGACATAATTCAGGAAGCTATGGTTCGATATATGTGAATATCTACTGGAACAGAGATCCTTTGGATATAAACATATTATTTAAGTTTCATCAATATCGGATAAAAACTGTGACCTCTTTAAAACATTACATACTTTTCCACTATTATCGCACAAGGAGCGTCCATTTTCACGAAATTCGAATTCAACCATCATTAGGGTGTAACCATGATATATTTGAATAGTTTCGAAAGAAACCGAGATGTTTGGGTTGTAAACATACGTTTTAAGTTTCATCAAAATCGGATAAGACTTGTGACCTCTGGAGTGTCCACAAGCTAAAAACTTGATTTTTTGTTCAATCAGGGGCCATAATCCATAAAGTTACAGTCCGATACATGTCAATATCGAAAGAAACAGACATCTTTGGACAATAAACCTATATTAAAATTGTGACCTGTAGCGTGTCCACCCAAAAACAAATCGTGGACGGACAGACAGACAGGGACGACAACAATATACGTCCACATCAAAATGTGGGCGTAAAAAACTGATCTAATTATTTCACAAAGTTTAATCAATAATGATTACGTTACATATGCATGAATTAAAACCAAATCACAGTCTAGATATTTCAAAATTAATAAACAATTATCACAATTTTCCATAATATATACAATATTTCAAAATATAAAACAAAATGTTACATGTATTTACATTCAAAATTTGTAATGAAATAATAAGATCCAATGAAAAAAGTTCTTTATTGTTACATTATCATCAACTCAACTGTCTGTGAAGAAACGATGTAATAACATCCGTTACAGTTTGACATTGTTTCACACTTTCTGGAAGGGTATTCCAGAGCCGCGGTCCTAGCACACTGAACGATCTGTCTGCAAATGTTTTACTTTTTGTCTTGGGTATAAATAACATGTTTTTTGATGACGATCTCGTATTGCATGATGAAGTTTGGGACTGCAATAATTCAGAAAGGTAGACAGGGGCAAGGTTGTGGAGACACTTATACACCAGTACCAGTAGCTTGAATTGGCATCAGACTTCAACTGGCAATATATGAAGTTCTTTCAGAGCACCAGTCGAGCTATGGCCGTAATTAACACCAAGAATTAGCTTTGCAGTAAAATTTTGAATTCGTTGGAGAGGTTGAAGAGTAGTTGCTGGCAAACCACAGAGCAGACTATTTCTGTAATCCATATGGGAGAAAACTAAAGAACTGGCAATTTGAAGAGATGATTCTCGCGAAAGAAACGGTCTCAATTTCCGCAAGTTGAACATTGCCGAAGCAGCACAACAAGTCTTCTGGGCAAAATGACTCTTTAAGTTTAAGTTTTCGTCCAAATGCATCCCCAGGAATTTAACACGGGATGAAGACCCAACTACAGAATCCCCAACTCTTAATTCATGGATGGTAGACTTGTGGAGCTGACGGCTACCACCGAAGATAATAACCTCAGTTTTTTCGTCGTTCATCTTTAGTCGATTATGCAGCATCCAGATTTTAACGTCGTCTAAGGACTCTGATACGCGGGAAGCAATATGAGATTCTGCATCAAGATCTCCGGCTTTAAAACTGTCATACAAGCTGTGGTCATCGGCGTAGCCAACTAATGTTTGATTGTGTCTGATGCAGGATGCTAGTGTACTGGTATAGCAGATAAAGTAGATCGGACCATTGATGCTACCTTGTGGAACTGAAAAATTGACATGTTTTACATCGGAGAAATCATTCTTAACTTTTACACGAAAACTCCTGTTTTGTAGATATGACGCCATCCACTCTTTTGCAATTTCTGCAACACCAAAATGATTCGACATTATCGTAAGCAAAAGCTTGTGGTGCACGGTAATCAAAGGTTTCTATTTCTAGAATTCAATTTTTAATAAGCTCAATCTTGAAATGCATTTACTAAGCTCCATCTAGAAAGCATTTTACCAATCTAGATCTTGAAATTTCTCCTGTACCATTTTTCTTCTGGTATTCTTCTCTAGATTTCATTATTCCCTACAATGATATATTTGATCAGATAATTTATGTTACATACAGTACACAACCCATCACATTATGTGATCAGCATGAATTATAATACCAATATAGATCACCTGAAAATCAACCAGGATGGTCTTTTCCAGGGCTTTAATATTAATATAAATGCCATTAAATCTAAAAATGACAACACAGGTGAAGTGAATACAGAGGACATGACTGTTCATGCAGCCGGAAATACTCCTGTAACAAGGTACTGCTTAAACTTTGCAGTACTTATCCATTTTTACAATCTAGTAATACATTTCAGGCCTTGATTTCAGTTTATTGGATTAATATATTAGGAGTTTCATCGCTCTCACATAATTAGAACTAAAGTTATCGTGTCCCAAAGCATCAACCAATCAAATTGCTTATCTCTGCTTACCCTAAGTAGAAGATTCTCATCTTCTAAACACCTACGCCAAGTGTGAACATTCTAACTCAATTAAAATGATAGGTATTGTGTTCCAAAGTCTCGACCAATCAAATTGCTTACTGCTCTGCTTACCCCGAACATGCTCATTATCGAACTTAGTCAAGGTATTGATGTAATGAAACTATACACCAAGTTTCATCACTCTCACTTAATTAGAACTAAAGTTATCGTGTCCCAAAGCATCAACCAATCAAATTGCTTATCTCTGCTTACCCTAGGCAGAAAGTGCTCATCTTCGAACTCCATCAAGGCATTGACCTAATAAACATCTACAAGAAGTTTGAACATTATAGCTCAATTAGAAGGAGAGTTATTGTGTTCTAAAATCTCTGCCAATCAAATAGCTTATCGCTCTGCTTACCCTGAGCAGAAAATGCTCATTATCGAACATAGTCAAGGTATTGATGTAATGAAATTATACATCAAGCTTCATCACTCAATCAATTTGCTTATCTCTGCTTAACCTAAGCAGAAAATGCTCATCTTTGCACTCATCTTTATTAGGTATTGACCTAATAAACACCTACACTGTCACCAAGTTTGAATATTCTACCTCAATTAGAAAGAGAGTTATTGTGTCTCAAAAAGTGTGACGGACAGACAAACTGACGGACAGACAGACAGACAAACGAACCCATTTTAATAGTTCCCTGCTTTCTTCGAAAGGCGGGGGACAATAAATTTTTTTAGAGAGTTCACAATACAAGATTCACAAAATAATACACAGTGAACGTTAACAAAGTGATGGTTGGGTGACTCTTCGAACTAGCCAAACCCTTACAGAAATTCTGACCTGTAGGGTGTTTATGAAGTATATTGTACAGTAACAACCATTAAACATACATTATGCATGAGCTAAATCTGCCTATTGCAAGTCTTTCTTTAGGCCTGAAATGTTTTCTAAATTATTAATTAGACATTAATTAAAAATACATTATGTAAGATTTAGATAAAGAGCTAGCCATTATTGCTATAACAGTTTGAAAATAGATGATGTAAAATGAATAATTTGAAATTTCCTGTAAATTACTCTATTGCGAATGAAGATATGATCCTTTGAAGTTTGACAAGATGTGTGCATTAATTGCAACCACGTTACTTAAGCTAAGCCTTGATACTCCAATTCTAAATTAAATCGAAATACGGCTGAACCGTTCTAATCTATTTAATATCGGAGACATCCCATGGCATCAAGAGTTGATTATGGTCTGGATCAGTTTATTAATATCTTATTAATAATTTAGATAACTTTTCAGGCTAAAGAAAGACCTGCAATAGGCAGATTTAGCTCTTGCATAATGTAAGTTTAACTAATCATCTCTTGATGTCATCTGATTTCTCTGATATTAGCTAGATTAGAACGGTTCAGCCATATTTTGATTTAATCTTAAAAAGGAGGAGCGAGACTTAGCTTTGAACAACCAGTACGGTCGATGCAATTATTGCACACGTCTTTTCAAAACTTCAAATTCTAATATCTTCGCTGGCAATAAAGAAATTTGAATGAAATTTTCAATATTATTCATTTTACATTATCTATTTTCGAACTATTATAGCAAGAATGGCTAGCTCTCTATCTAAATCTTACATAATGTATCTGTAAGTTGAAATGAAGGCACATAATTAGAAAGTATAAAGAAATTACTTGAAAAATATTCCCCCCTTAAGTTCTTTTTGGGATCATTTCACTTCTGCTGAAGTCTTTAGTTTGATTTTTTCAACTTAAACATCCAACATCAATACATTCTTGTGTCTTTTCTCTGCTTAAGGAGCTTTATTTTTCTCCAAATCAACTTCTAAAAAATATAAATAAAACATAATGTGAAAAATTATTTAGCTACTGCCATGTACATGTACACTAACATAGTTAAAAATAACGCATTGGTTAACCTTCACTTCACTACACAAAAGGCCAATTCAGAATTAGATTGGAGGCCTTGTGCATGTTTAGGCCTATAGTTTACAGAAACTATTCTGAGATGCATCAATGTCCTTGTACGTTGTAAATCGCCACAAACTGGATCTGTCTGTTCTATTTCTGGTCAGTTTAACCCCCCAATTTATTTTTAGCTTGAGAAAATTGTAAAGTAAGTGGGTTTAAAATGTTTATTTCCTTCTGGTAGCCTATTCAGAAGCTTATATTCAAACTAGTTCAAAATTGCAGGGTATTTAAGACCGAATGCTGTTGCACATGTCGTCATTTTGCCAGGAACAGGCTATAGTTTACGGTACTGTGCATGCCCAAAGCAAGCTGGAGCCAGAGATTTTAAGACGGCTACAGGTGGGGTTGTTAAACTGGTTTATTTGGTCCCACCTTTGTGTTCAGACGATATTCAATCCAGTTCAATGTCAACGTCTGAACGCACTATAATATAAAAGGAGAGTCTTTGTGTGCTGGTAAATTTGTACAGATAATCTAACCTTTACTAATAACTTGGTGCAGTAATAATAAGCTTAGCTTTTTCTATGGAAAGAATCTGGGTGGCGATTAATTTGTTTACAAATTAAATTTCCAAAATTAACATAATATTTAACATTACCTCACTTTCCCTTACTAATGACATACACATGTGCTTAGGAATAGTTATTGGGTCCATGGACTGTTTTTCTTTTTTATATGTAAGGTAAACTTATGTAAAAGCCACCCTCCTCCCTTCGTTCACTCATTGTTACCAGTCCATGTTTCCCCTTGTCAGTGAAGCAGGATGGAGGGCCTGACAAGGACAGCTGTCTAGTCGTTCGGATGGTACAAAAACCTGAGGTCCCATGTACACATTGACGTGCACGTTAAAGATCACTTGACAGTTGGAATTCAATATAAGAGTAGGCCGTAGCGCCACTGTCCAGGCAAAATCTCCCCTCATAGCACACTGTATGGCATATGCCTGTCTTCATTAGCCCAGTTTGGAGTAGAACAGTAGGACGTTAAACTCCATTTCATTTCATTTCATTTCATTTCTAAAAAGGCACAAATGTAAACTATATGAAATGGATAGATAGACTGATAGCATGGACAAAATTACATGACAATTTATACTAAAGAAATGAAATGGGGTGTTTATTGTCATACTTTCTGCAACTAATCCCACTAGTGTAGAATGTAGAAAACAACAATTGAAGGTTGTTTGGGGAATTAAATTCCAAATGGGATTATTCGAGCTATGGAAGACGGAGATGAAATGAAATTGGGTTTAATGTCCTACTGTTCTTTTCCGCCTGGGTTAATGAAGATGAGCACATGATATGAGTGAAATTTTGCCCGGACAGCTGCGCTATGACCTACTCTTACAAGTTATATATCCAATTCCAACTGCCACGGCATCTTTTACGTGCACGCCAATGTGAACATGTGACCTTGTTTTTTGTCCCATCCAAATGACTAGACAGCTGTCCTGGTCAGGCCCCTGTCCTGCACCACTGACATGGGGTAACCACACCAGAGAATAATGAAACCGATATCTGACATGCAGTGTACTAGTACATGTATAAAGAAATTTTGGTTTGCCCGCCTACTCTTATTTCAATTTCAAACTGTAAAAGGTTCTTTTAGTTACCGGCACGTGCATGCCGTGTACAGGGGAACTTGTTTATCGTACCATCTGAATGACTAATTCCTGTCAGAACTGTATCTCGCAGACAAAATTCTTTGACCATTCCTGTCAGTCCAAATGGAAAGCTTCAATAAGAAAATACTGAATTGTTTCAATCGCATTTAGTAATTGAACTGGAATATACAGGTCACAATTCTCTGGAATACAATTACTGCTTATTACTGAGCGATGTTTCGACTGGGCTTCCCTACTCGAAACATCGCTCAGTAATAAGCAGCACTGGTAATTGCAATCCATAGAACTGTACATAAATAATAATAATCAAATTTTTTGCTTTTTTTAAATAGAATTTTGTGATTCAAAACACTTGAAAATGGTGATAGATTATTATCAATATATAGCCTATTATCAAATGTTGTGGAAAATGATTCCTTTTGGCAAACAAAGAAATACAGTGAAAATAGAAGGAAAAGACTCCAAAATAGCCTTAGACAGAGACTGTGGTAATGGCTAAAAGAGTTGTATTTTCATATTGTGGCTTAATAATAATAAGGACGGACAGGAATTGACAGAAGACTTTGTCCGTGAGTGACCGTTACGAAACAAAACAACTGAATGACTACTAGAGCAGGTCACACTGTTAATTCCTTCCAGCTCAGTAAGACTAAAGTGTCTAAAAGTAGACTAAAACTAAAGCCGCAATAATTTAATATGTCATACGTTGCCTATCTTTTTGCTTTCGTCCTGTTTTCACATTCAATCTATTTTGTAAAAATCGAAAAATGATATCTAATTTTGCATCATTGTCTTCTTTTTCAGTAAGGGAATTTCTTCAACACAGGCCCTTATAATAAGAAATAACTAATATAATAGGCCCTAATAACAGTAACAATAAATAACAACGCATTGTTACATGAAATCAGAAAATTTGCCTGGCCTTTTAAGTTCAAAGTTTTGGTTCTATACACATTTGGCTGTGAGAGGAAGTAGATCTAGTAGGCTATGTATAGAAAAATTTAATTATTAATAAACTATATGAAATACTTACCGTTTGGGTCTTTAAACAAATACTGTAGGCCTATGTATAGGTCGCGAAACAAATCAACGTGTTCTTTGACTTCATAAAAGCATAAAAGGTTAGATATAATGATGCCATGGCCGTGGCGACATGCTTAGGGTTTTTTTTTGTTTGTTTTTTTCAGTCAACCCGATTGATTCAGTTTCAAAACTTTCGGCCTCATTCCTTGAGACGATAAATTTATCTAACGATAAAAACAAATTAATCTCAGAATGTCTGATATTGTATTGACGAGACATTCGACCCATTACACGTTCTCTTCCGTAAATAAGATAATCCTAAACAGTTTTGTTTTTTTTAAATTATATTATTAAATTGGTAACAGAATAATCAGATTCTGAAAGCGAATTATTCGGGTAAACGCGTCGCATAACCAGATCACCGCTCGAAATGGAACCATATCGCAAAATAGTTCCAGTTTTTGACTGGATTAAAGATAATAATTAATTGTGTGACATAATAAATTGACTTAGCTGCATTCGATATAAAATTTTGACAAGAAGAAAGTCCCTGTTACAGCCACGGTTATACCTCCATTAAAAGTCAAATCGGAATCTAGGCCACGACGAATCCCTAGTAACTCACTATTTTCAAAAATGACCGAAATATAAATTTACATTTGTTACAGAATCAGAATATTCCAAATCTTTCTAGAACTTTTGATTTGATGAATTTACATAGCTAACAAATGTTTTCATACTTTAGCATTGAAAAGAGATATTACGAATAACAATTTAACGTTCGATACATTTAAAACGAAAGGACAAATTACGTGGGGTTTTTTTATTTTTATTAAATTAGTAGGCCTACAAATCGTTACTGCTATAGTCAGAAATACGATTGGAATAGATAATAGATAAGATCAGATTTTAATGTACCAAAACATCCATTAAGACGGGAAGAATACTCCTATAGTAAAGGGAGCAAATTATAAAATGGTGGATCAAAAAGCGACTCAGAACTGTTCGAGAGAAGTTTATGCAATGTACAGTGTATATGTTATAATTGTCGAAATTAGAATATAGGGACCTCTGAAAAGAAAGTTCATTAAATAATAATATATATGCATACAGCGCACAGTTTCCTCCTATAAATAGGATAGGGCCTTGATTATCTACACAAAATCTCATCTTTAATCCCTATTTTAGTATTATTCATAAATATTTTGGCCGCAGTAAAATATGAGTAATTTAGTTGTTTATTAAATAAGTCCACATTTCGTCAATAACCAGAAAATGGGAATAAAGTTAGTTTTCCAAGTCTCGATCGATTTATTTATTAGGAAAATAAAAACTATACGGCCCTTGTTAGTTGCTACTATAGTAGATAACAAAGGCTGCCCTTGTTAGTTGTTACTGTAGCGGCTAACAATTTACCCCCAGAGGCGCAGAGGCACCCTTAGCGCTGCTACGAGCATCTAAAAATGACTAACAACTCTCTACTACTAGCAGGCTAATAATAGGCGGATCGGGTGATATGTTACTTGTAAACATTACTTTGACGCACCCTGTGAGTTAAACTTAAGTATTCTAATGTCACTACTGAATATTGAACAATATAGTAGTAACTCAACCAAAATAAAACATTTAGTATGTTAGGATAGCATACATGTTTAAAATGTGTAAAGTTTCATCTACCTATACATAACATGTATAAGATTTACTATACATTTCTTCATCTATGACCAGGAAGTTTACAGTATACACGCCGTACAAGTATTGGTATTTAGGCCTACACTACAAACTCGACAATAACGTAATATACACAATTTGATAATTGTGATTATCTACTGTTATGTCAATATACCGCTAGCGTCTATATCCTCTGAATGGTTACAATCGTTGATAAAAATAGACACACACGAATAAGTTTCAACATATATAATTATAATTTGTATTGAAATAAATGTTTTTATAAGACACATTGAAGTATGAACCATTAAATTTTGTTTGTTGCAATGCGTTTGCGTTTCCAGTTTTCGAAGCGACATTTCTATACGTGAGAGAGAGAGAAATGGGTTTAACGTCCACTCGACACAAACTAGGTCATTTCGGGACTAATATATGGTTTAATTTTATTTACATAATTCGCTTGCGCGTAGGGGTCTTTAGCAGTGGGAGGAAACCGGAGGACCCGGAGAAAACCCACGAGGTTGGACAGGCGACCCTACTCCTTGCCACGTACAACCGGGGATTCGAAACCACACCAGTCGACTCAATGACAGACTGTATGATACAGCGCGCACACGCTAACCATTCAGCCATCCACCCCCCCCCCATTTCTATACGTCCATATTTTCATAGCAAATAGCCAATATTTAAGACACTGTGGAGGTTTTCAAAATCTGTACGCGAGTCTTGTATTGTATGGTTTCAGGTGTCATTTGTAATGAAATATATCCTATAAGAGAAAACGGGTGTAACTACTAATGGCTGATTAACAAACGACACAATAATAATTTGATAAAAACGTGTAGTGTGGACTAAGTAGGTATAAACGACAGCCGTTCAATTTAGACTGTCCACATCTTTCAACAAGCATGATTGATTAGAAATTACAATAATTGAACCGTTCACGTGTTTCACCGAACTTGATTGATTAGAAATTACAATAAATCTTTTAAAAATTGAATTTAATTCAATTTACATACACGATACGATACATTTATGTACGCGCATGAAGAGAGGGAGAGAGATGGGGTTTAACGTCCACTCGACACAAACTATGTCATTTCGAGACTAACATATGGTTTAATTTTATTTCAGTAAATCGCTTGCACGTAGGGGTCTTTAGCAGTGGGAGGAAACCGGACGACCCGGAGAAAACCCACGAGGTTGGACAGGCGACCCTAATCCTTGTCACGTATAACCGAAGATTCGAAACCACGCCAGTTGACTCAATGAAGGGCTTAAGATACAGCAAGCACGTGCTAACCATTCGGCCATCCACCCCCCCCCCCACACACACACACACACTTTACACATATTCATATTACATTAACATGTGCTTTTAGAACCATTTTCGTCTATTTTAAAATTTAAAAGTATAGAGCCATACGCCTTTTATAATATATGTTTAAATCCCAAAGATCTCGGTTCCATTCGATATATGCATGTGTCTACCGTAACTTCCATTATTATTGTACGAATAATGTTTCATCTTTCACAGACTATTGTTTGTACCTGCTTAGTATCACTGACCAGGCAAAATTTCTATTATAGCACACTGTATGGCGTATGCCCGTCTTCATTAGCCCAGCATAGGAGCAGAACAGTAGGACGTTAAACCCCATTTTATTTCATTTCATTTCTAATCTCCCATAATCTATCTTTAAGTCTGTAGGAAATCTAGGCGATAACATTATATAGTCTGTGTGTAAATCTGTCAACTTATTTCAGCTTTACAATATGGGTGGTTTCGAATCCCTGGAGTAGGGTCGCCTGTCCAACCTCGTCGCTTTTTCCCCTCCGGTTTCCTCCAACTGCTAAAGACCCCTACGCGCAAGCGAATTATTGACATAAAATTAAACCATATGTTAGTCCCGAAATGACCTAGTTTGTCTCAAGTGGACGTTAAACCCCATTTCTCTCTCTCTCTCTTTTTACAATATGGGTAAAATACGCAATTTTATTGACAAGCCAACCGCGAAGATAGTAGTTAACTCCCTTGTAACATCCAGAATTGAGTACTACAACTCACTCCTATATAATTCTCCCAAATATCAAGTCGGTCGTTTGCAGAAACTACAAAAAAAAGCTACCATAATAGTTACTAGGACGAAGCCATCTGAGCCACAATTTTGAGACAACTTAACTGGCTCCCAATCAACAACAGAATTAAATTCAAGGTTTTATCTATGACGTATTCAACTCTAAACTGTAAAAGACCTCATGATCCCATATACTCCATCCAGAACCTTACTATCATCTTCAAGTAACCTGCCTGTTAAACTAAAAACCTAGACAATCGCAGGAGCGAGGGCCTGTAGCTATCCTGCTCCGTGAAAAATTGCATGATCATTAACTACGTTTCGAAAAAAACCTAAAGGAGCTAAATGGCTAATATTTGAGACCTAGAAATTGGTACAAAGGGGTCGCAATGCGTATAATAATGTAATATGAATGAATATAAACTGATTTACATTCAGTCGTTTCCGTATTTACTATAATTTCAAATCAGTTATGTTCAGCGAAACACACCAGAAGGCTTCATCGAATAGCGTCTTGTTATTCCAGTCTACGCTGATAGTATTTATTGCGCATGCTCTCCGGATAAGAATATCGCACCACTGTTTGACATGACTTGTGGAATATGTCTAACCTCGTTCTTCGAGTCCCTTGTTACAAATAGCGCTGGAACGCATTATGGTACACGATTCGTGTACCAATAGTAAATTGTTTATTTTGTCTTAAATATTAGATATCAGAAGCCCATCTTTTTCCCGGTAAGATCACAACATCAGTGTTGATTTAAATGGACAAATAGTTCGTGTTTTCTGTCAAAGACTTTGGATGATATTGAGTTAGAGACTTAGCTACTTTAAAACATAAGTGCTTTCAAATGTGATTTATCCATTCAATGTTTTACGTGCGCTACAATCACTTCTTCTCTCTGTGTAAATTGTATAATAATTATATTTGGGTATTTTATTATTAATTATTTATTTTTTATTTTTACAAATTGTGTTTGTAAAGCACCACTGAGCAACACTTGTGTGGGATATAAATGATAAATTATTATTAAATAAACGTTTTTTTTTCTAGCCTTGAATCGAGAATAATATGCAAATCATCAATTGATCAAGTCAAGTTAACTAGATTTCATTAAACCTGATAAACATGCAAGAGACAACAATAACATACTGACAATAATAATAGAAATGTATTAATTGAAAAAATCGCATAAATAACCGCTAGCAATTAATGAAAAGTCACGCTCCTCAAGGGGGAATTGCGAGACAATGGACTGAGCCCACTATTTCTATTATTTCTGATTTTATGTGAGCGACGGGATTAAAACTGATAGATTATATTATCCGCTAGATCAACTCCCAATAGAATTAATGTCATAGAACGATATTTATATTGTGAGATATATATTTCCCATGGGGAAGCCAAGGTGGCTTAGTGGGTATGACCTGGAGGTCCGTGCGCTGGCTGGCTGAGAAAGCTCGTCAAGATTTTCTGGCGAGGAACAACGCATAGTCGTTAGGGTGGTCCGATAAACCGAGGTCCCGTTTAATAGAACTGTTTCCCCATTTCATTTGTTATATTCCCACGTTGATACTACACGCCGCACGCGTCCACTGCGCTGTACAGTCCCTGGTCTGTAATAATACCGGCTTCCGTCAAAGGGTTAGGGTTTAACGTCCTACTGCTCTGCTTCGACCGGGCTGATGAAGACGCTCATAGGTCGTCATACAGTGTGCTATGAGGAAAATGTGCCCGAACAGCAGCGCTACGGCCTACTCTTGTATTGAATTCCAACTGCACTGATAAGGGGGAAAGCACCTGGAAAATCCCAATGAACTTCAAAGGCAACGCCGGGAGCGAACCCGCGACCTAAAGGCTAACCAGCCAGTGTCTTACTCACTTAGCCAGCGTGGCCCCTTTGTTGGTAGGCATGTTCAAAGGAATCTAGACAGAGAGTCTGGTAAGGGACAACATAATAGTCTTTCGGATGGAACGAAAACACAATTCGAAATAAGAGCAGGCGTAGTGCTTCTGTCCAGGCCTCATTTTCCACATATCACACTGCTTGGATGCCAATCTTCATTAACCCATTCGTAGCAGAACAGCAGGACTTTAAACCCCATTTCATTTTATTTCACTTAACACGGTATGCCTTTGCCTGTGGCGTGAATACAATTTCCAATTAACGGGTATGAGAAATATAAACAGCAAAAAAAACGTCAGTACAATTTCAAAATCAGAGAGGCGCTTTGATCAAATCATTCTAGAAAACGACTTACTAAATGGAAAAAAAGCAATTTTTTGTGAACAGTATGTTGACACATTAGTGATTAATGCAGCACAATTCCAAGACATTACGAGAAGGTTTAGAGTCTGTTCACAGTCTATACATCAGTATCTGGTGTGTCCACCGCGAGTGTCAATAACAGCAGCGCAGCGTCTGTACATGGACCACTCTAGACGATTGATGAACGCCATTGGCACCTGGAACCACACTCTCAGAAACGCCTGGCGCAATCCATATGCTGTGTTTGGTCTATGCAGCATGAGTTACATGAAAATGATGGAGAAAACATTACCATCTCAGAAGTCTAGTTGCGTTTTTGAGAACATTTCCTGGGTTCATTTCTGTGTTTGGGAAGGAGTCTGCTCAGGTAAAGTTGGAGATGTGGTCACAAATATACAATAAAAACATTTGGCAAGTTTTATGCAATGCGTCTAGTCAGAGTAACACACCAACCTGATGTTTCTTTTGCTGGTTAGTATATATCTTTTATAACAAAATTAAAACAAAAAACAACAAAAAAAACACATTGATTTACGTGAAAATAATGGCTTTCAACACGGTTAATTTCCAGTCTAATTCCCAGATTGTCTTTAATGCCTCGATTCACAATTTCCTTGTTGTTAAGATTAAATCAAATCCAACTAACCTATTTTTATAAGATAATGATATAATAGACGGATTTATTGTGATATATTATTATGCATCAAAAGGTTACAAAACATGTTTTAAATAATAGAAGCCATTATTGTTATTGGTTATGCTGGTAGAAACCTCAAGGGGTCTGTGGTGTATTTTTAATTGGGTATTATTATATCATTCTGGTATTATTATATCAATTCAGATCAAACTGTGATAGACTACATTAAAGATTAAACAAAAATACAATGTCATCTTGAAAGGTATAATGAAATTTAATATGTTCAAATAGGCTAGTTTGTTTCAAAAAAGCCGGATATGCCAAACCACCGTAACAGAGTATTTATTTTTTTACAAGAATGCTGTATACAGCCGACGTAGAGCACAGGATCACTTAAGGTCCGTTCATACTACATCCGTATCCGTATCTGTAAATACGTGCGTGAATACGTACTGGTATACTTTAGTCATTTTTAGAGAAAGGGTTGAAATAGAATCCGGCACGTATTGCGCACAAAAACAACTTCGTCCGTTAAGCCGGATTGATTGCTCCCAGAGCGTATTTTTGTAAAGTGCGTCCGGTATTTCGGCTAGTGAGCCGAGCTTTAGCCAATCAGCGAGTACTTTCCCCTTATTACATCATCTCCCCAAATAGATACTCAATCTCTGACAGACAATTCAGCCTTGAAAGTCGGACGTTTTCGCGTTTTCTATTTGAACGGCAAAACGCGGATACGGATGCGGGTGCGGATACGGATGTGGTATGAACCGAGCTTTACACGGCGGTCCGATGTTCCATCTCCGTGTTGGTCGCTAAAGTTCTCGTGATTTCTCTGATAATACGAGAAACTGAGAGTCCATGATGGAAAAAGGCGAGACGTCCAGCCCCGTTTCATTTCATCTGCGAATCGTTGTGTCCTCTGATCGGAGGGGTGGGGTGGGTGGTGACTGGATCAGATGGGCGTACACGTAAACAAATATAAGATCTGTTTTTGAGTTGCGTGGTTTCGATACAAAGCTTTTAGGTGACAAGGGGTGGGGTTTACTTGTCCATCCTTGTGAGTTTTCTTCGCATCATCCAGTTTCCCCACATCAACCAAAACGCCAGTTATAGAACAAATCTTCCAAATACTAGTGTAGTAAAGACAAGTAAAACGAAATTTTGAACTATATAAAGCGAAATGAAATGTTTTAATTAGATTGCATTAAATCACCATTGCCAAGATGACTTTTCTAAATGTTCATGGAGACAAACACCTTGCGTATACCACTACATTCCTGTTGTAGATTGCAGCCCTCGAGGCCGCAAAACAACGCCGACAATACTTACATATTGTTGCGGCATTCGAAAAGAGGTAGTTTGTATCCTGCTGACCAAAGAGCGGTCATCCGGCCCTAATCAAACTCTATGAACTGTTACTGACTACTGTTATATCATTAACTTAAAAACGTGACTTGTATGTGTTAGAAACTTCGTTATTAAATACCAGAGGAGTAGTTATACCCATATGTATATCACGTGTTATGAAATAACAGGGAATTAGTTATATCTATATATACGATGTGTTAGTGAATAACAGAGAAGTAGTTATATCCATATATACCATGTGTTATTAAATAACAGAGAAGTAGTTATATCCATATATACCACGTGTTGTGTTGTGTTCTGAACACTGTTATATCAATGATTGATAAAGGAAACAAATAAACTAAGAGGAAAGCATGGAGTTTAACATCCCATCTACGCAAATCAAAGATTAACGTATATTATAAAGTAACTTTATTTGTGCAATTGTAGGTGGTTAGATTTTCACCCGGAATGAACTGAAGCTTAAAGACACATTATGTAAGGTTTAGATGAAGAGCTTTTTTGTTATAATAGTTCAAAATATATTAAAAAATTCATGCGAATTACTTTATTCTGAGTCAAGTTATCACTGTTTTTAGTTATGACAAGATGTGTTCATTGATTAGTTATTATCGTAACCACGGTACTGGTATATTCGAGGCTTACCCTTGCTTCTCCATTTTAAAATTAGATCATTAAATGGCTGAGCCGTTCTAATCTAGTCAAATCTCGAGTATCCGATGGCATCGAGAGTTGATTATGGTCTTGTCATGTTAATTAATGTCTAATTAATAATTTATATAACATTTAAGGCCTATAGGAAGACCTGCAATAGTCAAATGTAGCTGTCGAATAATGGTTGTTTAAAGCAATCTCATTAATATACAGATCTATATTTCGTTTCGTTTTTTTATACTTTCGATGGCCTACACTACATGAAGATCTGACAAGTTATAGCGATAGGTCACGTCAGAGGTCAAAAGACCGACTTATGACCCTTTTGACGTCAGACATTTGATTAACCAATCAGCATTGATGTTACTAGTGGATTACCCACAGTTCCGTGAACAACACGCCTAAAGCTCGCCGTAACAGACCGTTTCATTGGCTTATCCCTGACACCATTCAGAACACGATGAAATAACAACTCTTCCAGATCCAAGTGTAGTAAAGACAAGTAAAACGAAATTTTGAACTATAAAAACGAAACGAAATAGGATCTGTGTTTAAAGGAAATGCCTTATCAACACGTGTAAAGCTCTTGAATAATGTATCTTGAGCAAACCGGGATAATGAAAGAAGTATTGTTGCCATGACAGCGGTGATTCCACCCACTCTTTACGTGCACACCAAGGTGTAGACTTAACCTCGTTGTTTCGTATCAACTTTTCCAGACACCCCAGCCCGTTCTACATCATTGAAACCACTGAGGATAATCCACAAGAACTTTCCCTGTCATCTCGAGTATTATTTGTTACGTGGCTCGCATAATACCATAGCCGCCCCACCCCTCCCCTTATAAACATAAAGAACCCTTGGAATTTCAAACTCAGTGAAAAGTAGACGTAATGGCCACAGTCTGGGCGTTGGTCGAGAAAGGCCACAGTCTGGGCGTTGGTCGAGAAAGACCACAATCTGGGCGTCGGCCGAGAAAGGCCGCAGTCTGGGCATTTGCTGTGAAAGGCAGAGAAAGTTCATCGGAATTTTCCGGCATGATTCCTCTTGTCAGTGGTGTAGGACGGAGGGCCTGGCAAGGGACAATATGTAATCGTTCGGATGGAACAAAAACCGAGTTTCGGTGTACAATTGGCGTGCACGTAAGAGAACCCGCGAAAGTTGGAATTCGAAATAAGAGTAGACCATAGCGCCGCTTTCTGGACAAAATGTCCCTCATAGCACACTGCATGGCATATATCTGCCTTCGCTGGGCACGGCCTTGGATTCAGCTTGTTAGTCTCCCATGACGTCACGGATTAATGACCATTTGTTTGAATATTAACGGCTAAGAAAATAGAAAATGAAAATGAAGTAAAATGGAAATTAACGGCCTGCTGTTCTGCACCGACTGGGCTAATGAAGACGGGCATACGCCATACAGTGTGCCATGAGGGAAATTTTGCCCGAACAGCGGCGCTACTCTTATATCGAATTCCAACTGCTAAGAGATCTTTTACGTGCACGTCAAATGTGTACACGGGACTTCGGTTTTTCGTCCCATCCAACTGCTAAGGGATCTTTTACGTGCATCGTGCACGTCAAATGTGTACACGCCATACAGTGTGCCACGAGGGAAATGTTGCCCGAGCAGCGGCGCTATTCTTATATCGAATTCCAACTGCTAAGTGATCTTTTACGTGCACCGTGTACACGGGACCATCCGAACTGCTAGACAGTTGTCTTTGTCAGATCGTCCCCAGCACCATTGACACGGGTGTGAAAACTGAAGAACGTTCATTGCTACACGAGAATACGTTATGAAGATTTTATTTTGTTAAAGTAAACAGAGAAGATTTAAACCAGGTTATGACCTGGAACAAGAAAATGCCCTTCACAAATTTTAACGAAGCAAAGCTGTGCTTTAAATTTTGTAATGAAATTAAAAAGTCCGTAAAAGACACGTTATATAAATCCACAGACACCTCAATATAATAATCCGTAGACACATTACACAAATCAGTAGACACATTATACAAATCAGTAGACACATTATACAAATCAGTAGACACATTATACAAATCAGTAGACATCAGTAGACACATTAAATATGAAATCCCGTAGACGACATATTATGATCTGCAGACATATTCTAAAAATTCGTAGACACATTCTGAAAATCCGTAGACACAGTTCACACATTTCGATCCGTAGACACATTCTGAAAATCCGTAAACACGTTCTGAAAATCCGTGGACACATTCTGAAAATCCGTGGACACACCCTGAAAATCCATCTATTTGTACTATTTATGCTCGTGGACGAGAAACATAAAGTCTGGGAGCTCTGACCACCAGTCATGATTCAACCCAAGGTGACGCACATGATTTATAACTGAGTTAATACCACACAACGCGTGTGCGTTGTATCATAAGGTCTGTCATTGAGTCAACTGCCGTGGTTTCGATTACCCGGTTGTACGTGACAAGGAGTAGGGTCGTCTGTCCAACCTTTTGGGTTTTCTCCAAGTCCTCTGGTTTCCTCCCACTGCTAAAGACCCCTACGCGCAAGCGAATTATTGAAATAAAATTGAACCATGTGTTAGTCCCGAAATAAGCTAGTCTGTGTCGAGTGGACGTTAAACCACATTTCTCTCTCTTCTCTCACCACACAGCGCACTTTATCCGGAAAAGCAACCACTAAACAAATACGTTTTTTCTCCGGCTGCTCTTTGGAAAAATCGAATGAAGTATCTTTATTCATGATGCCGCAAATGACGTCAGCTGGGCATATCCAAAAAATAGATCGAGATATCTAAATGTTCAACAGGTCAAGATTGATCCATTACCATTTTAGATCAGATTTAAACTTGAGAAGCCCGACGTACATGTTCTAACATCACATATCGACATGTATACTAAACTAATTCTGTCGGTCTACAATTAGTTCCGTTTGAGAACAGACACGAAGCTCCTTGACCGACATTTTGATTCCTAAGTCGACGAATTTAATTGGAAGCACTAACTATGCTTCGCGAATTTTAAAAAGTATTTACTACGCTTCATTTTAATCAAATTCAAAATCCATCCATTTTGATTTACACATTGTATTTGTGTGAGTGTAGCGGACTCTGACCAAATTATGATCCCTTTTCACTGTTGAATTAGCCCTAGTGATATTTTCAACCGGTTGTCCCAGGTTCATGTCACCACTGCCAATATATAATATCCCTTTAATATCAAGTTTGTTTTGTTAGCAGGCCTTGCAATAATAGGTTTCCAGCAGGCTTTGCAATAATGGATTTCGAGCAGGCCTGGTAATAATGTGTTTTTGGCAGGTCTGGTAATAATGTGTTTCGAGCAGGTCTGGTAAGAATGTGTTTCGAGTAGGTCTGGTAATAATGTGTTTCGAGCAGGTCTGGCAGTGGTGGTTTTAGTAGACTAGTGTTCGTCCATGGTTTTCGAGCAGGCCTGAGAATGCTGATCTTCGAGCAGGCTTTGCAATAAGGGGTTTCGAGCAGGCCTGCCTATGTGTTGGGTATGGTTTGCGAGCAGGCCTGGGAATATTGGTTTTGGTGTACATGTCTTCATGATAACATTCATAAAAACAGACAAGCGTCGTCGGGGAGTCTGTAAGAAATAATGTTTTATCGCTACAGTCATGAAAATAATGGTTTAACTAAATTAGTATCCGGTATTGTAAAGTCTGTGTCGGACATGTATTGATAAAAAAAAAACATTAAAAAAACACACACAGAAAAAAAACAAAAAACAAACAACTCATTGCCGGATAAAATGTGAGACACCCGGAATGAATTGTGTCTGAATTTGTGCCTAATAATATCTGTAATCAATGCGTTATTTCCGGGCAGGTGTTCGAGTATTTACATGAATATGAGACGTCGTTGTTTTTAAAATGATGTATTGGTTTTGTTTTTAAAACATCACAAACGAGTGAGTATTTAGTACTACATGACATTACGTAGTAATTCGAACCTCGCATAACGAACTATTCTTTTTTTCCAAAATGCAGTTATTTTTAGCAGTAATTTGTGAAGTTTTTGGCTTATTTTGTGAAGTTGAATTTCCATTCTGTGACGTTGAATTTCCATTCTGTGACTTTGAATTTCCATTCTGTGACGTTGAATTTCCATTCTGTGACGTTTTCGCGCCATTTTGCGATTTGTCGTCAATCGTCAACCTCTTCACGCCATTGCCGTTCTGTGTTGAAGATTTTGCAACCGAATCCTTTAAGGCTAGTTCATATCCTTCCGTCATGTGAACGACTAGATAATCGAATAATATTTTCCAGCAGTCTCGAACTTCCAATATGAATTCTTCTCCTAGTTCTAGTTCCCAGACTTGGATCAAACATTTCACGTAAAAACTAAAATATTCCACTTTGAATCCTCTGAAAGTCACGTGACGAGCACCTAACACCATTATTTCTTGGTGTAGACCGTTGTACGAAGATTCTAAATTGTCCACCACTAATTGTATCACTTGCATAAAGATTCCCGCGTGACGTCGAAATGTCGGTTGTTGGTGTAAATCATTGACATCTTGAATTCTGAAACAAAAAAAAGACATTTTGTTTATGTCATGTATAAATTCAAAAGCAGAGTTTTTTGAGGGAGTCACGGTGGCTAAGTCGAGTGGGTAGGACGCTGGCTCGCTAGTCTGTAGGTCACGTGTTCGATCCCTGCATTGGCCGAGAAAGTTCATCAGGATTTTCCAACGTGGTTTTCCCTTGTCAGTGATGCAGGGCGGAGGGCCTGACAAGGACAGCTGTCTAGTCGTTCGGATGGGACGAAAAACCGAGGTCCCGTGTACAAATTGGCGTGCACGTAAAAGATCCCTTGGCAGTTGGAATTCGATTTAAGAGTAGGCCGAAACGCCGCTATCCTGGCAAAATTTCCCTCATAGCACACTGTATGGAGTATGTCCGTCTTCATAAGTCGAGTCGGAGCAGAGCAGTAGGACGTTAAACCCCATTTCATTTCATTTCATTTCATTTCCTTTTCTATTTGGTGCATGAAGAATGGCCTGACAAGGACAGCTGTCTAGTCGTTCGATAGGACGAAAGACCGAGGTCTCGTGTACACATTGGCGTATACGTAAAAGATCCCTTGGCAGTTTGATTTCGATAGAAGAATAGAAATGAAATGAAATGAAATGAAATGGGGTTTAACGTCCTACTGTTCTGCTCCTAACCTGGGCTAATGAAGACGGGCATACGCCATACAGTGTGCTAAGAGGGAAATTTTGCCCGGACAGCGGCACTACGGCCTACTCTTATATCGAATTCCAACTGCCAAGGGATCTTTTACGTGCACGCCAATGTGTACACGGGACCTCGGTTTTTCGTCCCATCCGAACGACTAGACAGCTTTCCTTGTCAGCCCCTCGATAGAAGAATAGGCCGTAACGTTGCTGTGCTGGCAAAATTTCCCCCATAGCCCACTGTATGGCGGATGCCGTCTTCATTAGCCCAGTCGGATAAAGAACAGTAGGACGTTAAACCCTATTTAATTTCATTTCAGATTTTTTAGCTACAATTGGTGCTAACTGGTTACACAAACGAGGTCATTTCGGGACTAACACATGGTTCAATTTTATTTCAATAATTCGCTTGCGCGTAGGGGTCTTTAGCAGTGGGAAGAAAAAAGGGGGACCCGGAGAAAACCCTTGAAATGGGACAGGCGATCCTATTTTATATCACGTACTAGCGGGGAATTGAAATCAAACCAAACCATTTGAATCAATGACAGACCTTGAGCCTTAAACCACTAGACACCCCAGCCCCACCCCCATGAAGACGGGCCTACCCCTGCATGGGGGAAATTGTACCTTAACGACAGCACTACAACCCACTCTTATTGCGATTGACAAATTCAAGGGATCTTTAACGTCATTTCAATGGTTTACACGTGGGCGGGGCTCGATTTTGGGTCCCATCCGAACGACTATATACACGGTTTCTTGTCAAACATCCGTTCTGGATGATAGGCAAGGAATTTCAGATTTTCCGCCCCATCCGAACGACTAGACAATCCACAGATAAAGGGTGAGCCACTTTAAACGTATTGACGTGTTCATTCGGTGCAATAAACTGATTACATTATGATTTATTTATGACTTATGATCAAGCCTTTACTTTTATAAATAATCACTACATTTTATGTTCAAAGATATTTAACTCTTTATATTTTAGCTTTTATTTTTATAATTACACTGACGTCAAAAGAATTAATTGTCAACACTGAATACTCCACAAAACACACTTCCGTTGTTTCGCGTGCTTGTAAATGTCAGAAGATTATTACGTGACACCATAGTGACCGTGGAAAGTCACGATAAGAATACTTCATCCGGTGCGACGACGTCAAATTGGTTTAATGATTAATAATCGCGCTAATTGAAAGAAACGTAAACTCAACTACAACTCTAACGTTTGTAGTCATTCTATCTCCCTCTTTTGTAGGTGGGAGTCACGGTGGCTTAGTGGATAAGACGCTGGCTCACTAGCCTGGAGGTCGTGTGTTCGATCCCTGCATTGGCCGAGAAATGTCATCGGGATATTCCGGCGTGGTTCCCCCTTGTCAGTGATGCAGGACGGAGGGCCTGATTATATAAAGACAGTTGTCTAGTCATTCGGGTGGGACGAAAAACCGAGGTCCATTGTATACATTGGCGTGCACGTAAAAGATCCCTTGGCAGTTGGAATTCGATTTAAGAGTAGGCCATAGTCCAGTTACCCGGGCAAAATTCCCCTCATGTAGCACACTGTATGGACGTTAAACCTCATTTAATTTCATTCATTTCATGATTTAGGATTTCAGAGAGCGACGGTGGTTCAGTGGAGGAGAGCGCGAGAGAGTTCAATTCACTCCGAGTATAATTATCCGCGGTACTCCGATTGAAAATCTCAAAGTGGCTGTATCAATTCCAAACGACATTTGCAATGTACATGTCTATTTTTAATGTTCAGACAGAAAGGTGAGAAAAAAAATGGGGTTTAACATCCACTCGGCCAAGAATAGGAAATTCCGGGACTAACATATGGTTTAATTTTATTTCAATAATTTAGCAGCGGGGAGGAAACCGTAGGACCCGGAGAAAACCCACGAGGCTGGACAGGTAACCCCGTAAAAGAGACCTTGACAGCTGGAATTCAGGAGGAAACAGCAGGACCTTTATCGCATCGTATATGGCCGGCCTTGGGTGACTCCCTTTAAGCAGGTAGTATTGAATAGGGTGAGTAGTATAGGAAATAAAAACAAAATCCTAATAGAATGGTATGACTGGGATAGGATAGCACCCGAAACCTTCGAACCACTGCGTCCTCCCTTTAAACAGGTAATGCTGAATCGGATGAGTAGTAAGTGGGATAGGATCGTAACCGCGACTTTCGTACCCAGCGAACCACGGTGACTCCCTTTAAGCAGGTAATATTGAATCGGATGAGTAGTATAGGAAATAAAAACAAAATCCTAATAGAATGGTGTGACTGGGATAGGATAGCACCCGCAACCGTCGTACTCAACGAACCACAGTGATATTGAATCGGATAAGTAGTATAGGATTTTAAAATAGAATAATGATATTGATTACCATGTGATAGTTAATTAGCAGGTATATTACAGATGTAAACAAACCATTGTTTGATTTAGTCATGGATTATACCATCGTACACAGACTACTCATTAATAAAAATCACTTTAACTAG